ACACACGCACCCGCGACAACATGAAACAAGCACCCATCACAACCCCTCGGGCCAGCCACCCATCACAACCCCTCGGGCCAGCCACCCATCACAACCCATAGCACCCCCACACATCAACCCTACAACACAGCAAAACATGATAGATGATAAGAATTATCACACGCACACAACTACCCAGTTTATTGTTTTATATATTTTCTTCTCCGATACATTGAGAAGATTAATGCAGCAAGTGGTTTAACCAGTTCGTCGCACTTAAGAATACGGTTTGGTCTGCCGGAGACATGGTAATAAACGAGGGGTTAATAAGGGATACTTTCTGCCAAAGATTAAGTCTTAGATCTCTATAACAGTCACACGTTACCAAAAAGTGAACTTCATCTTCAACAGTTTGGCCGTTACATAATTTACAGACGCGTTCAGAAACAGGGGTTTTCGGGCGTGTATAACGACCTCTTTCTAATTCTAAGGGTAAAGTTCCACAGCGAAGTTTAGCTAAAGTGCTTCGTCGTGATCTATCCAGAATATGGCGTACATAAAATGAAACATTCAGTGTATTTTTAAACAATCTAAACGTTCTAAGCTTATTGTCTGTAGTATGGCCAGTGTCATTCCAAACTCCACGCAACCAGTTTTCTCTGTCAAGTTCTATCAGTTTTGATTTCAAAATTTGGAAATCTATATTACCAATATTATAGAGATCCAAAAATGGTAGATCAAAAGAAAGACAGACAGGCTTACATCTTCTCTCATGGACAGTGGTGGAAAAGCTTGGGTATTGGGCTCTGGGCTTGCATCATCATGTTTCGTGTATTCATCAAGTCAATATTGCCGTCTATTTTGCAAGCTCGTTTGTCAATAGTCGAAATCGTTGTACAAATCTGGTCTTTAAGATGCACAATTTCTTTACTCTTGTTATTCAAGTCACTTTTCAAGGAACAAATATCTCTCTTCAATCGTTCTTCAGTCAGTTGCAAACACTTAGTCTCGGTGACATAATGCTGAAGTTGATTGTTCTTGTCTTCATATGCATCAATCATTTTTCTCATATCCAATTCATATTTGTCCTGGAAATCACAAAGTTTATTGCATACAAAATCCAGTTTTTCCTTCATTTCTTCATGAATGGCTATTAGTTTGTTAAACACTTCAGGCACAAAATCATTTATTTTGGATTTGCTTGTCATATTTTCAGGGTCAAGCACCTGACTCACATCATACACATTGTCACATCCGCCAATATCTGTATAGCGTGCTCTTTGACGGCTTAATACATCAGTTTGAATAACATGGGGTGGCACTGCTCCTTTAATGTACTTAAAAAGGAGATATATGTCTGCAGCATATTTGTCTGAGATACTTTTAGATCTTCCTCCACGATTCACTCTCTTTATCAGTACCCCGTCTGGGAAATCACTGCATTCTGCCTTAGCTATATCATACAGTGAGTGTCGCACATCATTCAACAGTTTTTCATCATTCTTGTATATGCTTTTGAGAGAAGTCTCACATGATTGCCTGTCACTTTCTCCTAAAATGTCCCCAAGGTCTCTGAGGATATCAAAGTCAATAGTTTCAGGGGTTTGTGTGGGGTATGTTGGAGAGGAGTTCATAGCTGTACCCTAGAAAATTAGAAGAGTAGTTGGGCTTTACCTTCTGCTTGAGATCATGGAAGTCAGTTGTCTTTTTCACCGCCGGTGAAGCAAAATATATCCATAAGGACTGCACAATATGCAGAGCTCCGTCAAAACACGTCCGGTCGTCTCGAGACCCAAGCCCACATTCAATTTTCAATTACCAAAACAAAAATCAGTATACTTTCTTTTGTCACTCAGTTTACTTTCCGTCTCGGTTTGTTGAATTACACATTTCAAGACGACATGGTCAGCACCACGAGACACAGTCATGCGGTGTCCTCCCATTAGTTAGACGTCCCAATAGTTAGACAGCTTATAACAACACTTTAAACGGTTGAGTGCACACTAATCCTTATGCTTGTTACCTCAGACTTTAAAATGGAATAGTCCAGATAAGATCTGACAAACAAAGGAAAGCAGCTTTAAATAGATACTTTAATATTATACTTAACATTTAATGACACTTTACATTTGATAAATTTTATACAGTTTGTAACAACACTTTGTGACAGTTTTTGGTAATGTACACTTTACATTTAATAACTTTTACAGTTTATTTATCCCAGACGAAGTGTGCAATGTGACAGAGGTCTGTTGAATCGCTCTTGAACTTCTGTCTTCAGTTGTCGAAAAAGCCGGCCATAGGTTGTTGCTTGGCGATCTGGCAAAAGGGCGAACACAAGAGGGAAGGTGTTGGGACCAACTCTGGCATGAATGATGTATACTTGATCCCATAAACCTTGACATGCTGTGAAGGTACCATCCATGTAAAGGGTGTCAGCTTCCTGGCGTGCTTGTATCTGTTCTGCAGTGGAGAACGCCAGGATCTTGTCATCGTCGCCGTCGCTGAACAGTAGAAAGGGACGTCCATCTGTTGTCTCTGACCATTTGTCTTCAATGTCTACTGCTGACCGCGACCTGGGTAACGCTCGAATGTAACGCCTGAACAAGAGCAAAGGAACAGTTACACATATGTTACATGAAATATTGATCATGATTTCATTAACTTGAAATGTTTAAGAGCGAAACAAGTTATGTGGGACCTAAAAAAAGAGTAAATTCTAACCAAGTCAAAAATACGGGATGATATTTACCTGTAAAGTGCACCTTTCACGCTCTGAAATGACGGCATCGCTGGCATGTTGGCTTCATCTACATGTACTTGAGTGACTTGCTCCTCGTACAATGCCTGCATCTGTGTGGTTTCTTCTCGCGCTCTTTTACGAAGATTGCAGACAAAGTTCACTCTGGTTTCATCTTCAGGCGGATGGTTATGTTCCGACTGATTGCAAAGAAAGTCACCGACAGTCGTACATTTCCCATTGCACGTCTTGACGACACATCTCCAATGTGTGCAGGTTTGCCTCTCGCGGTTTCTGTTGTAAATATATCCATCTAATATCAACTGCTCACTTCCGAGCCGAGAGGTGAGGTACTCTACTTACCTTTAACCAACCATATCGATACTGATAATGATACGTACCCCAAGATCATTTTTATTTGTTTGATGAGTAGATAATCTAAACTCGACTCCTTCAACTAATCATACAGTAAGACAATTAAGCTACTCCATAGTTTACATAGGAAATCTCATGCCTATTGAACCTGTGCTGAGAGTAAGGTAATTTAGGTTAATTAAACGAAATTATAACATATATTACTCCCTAAACTGTGAGTCCCCTATCCCTACCCAGTACTTTAATCTAATTAGGACCGATCCATTACACCTGTAGGTATATTCCCTCTTTGCCCGAATAAACATGTCTAACAATTGGGACGTCTAACTAATGGGACGTCTAACTATTGGGATATAACCAGTCATGCAGTCAGTCCTGGGGGTTTATTCACCAATCTATTGTGAGGAACAATTAATATAAATTTGACATAAACATCAACACTGAATGGAAAGGTATCCATTAAGACACACTTGTGCTGTAAAGATGAAACTGGAAGCCAGGTGAAGCGTAATGGAGTTTAACGTCGCACCTATACAGGACGCTACACGCTTCTAATATGAATCATGACAAAGCAGTTTCCACTGCATTATTGCACCACTGGTATCAAAGCATATGCACTGTTTAAACTCTTCCAGAAGACCATACAACCGTCCCCCATTCTGCTTCGTCACGCATTCTCACAAACCCATTCACCGCTAAGGCTAGTACCTGTATGTATGTCATTATGCTTGCGAATTGTAGTATGTCTTCCTGTGATCAATGTTATACTTGTAATGCTTATGTTGAGTGTCGGTGAGGATAAATGCACCCCTGTGTTGGGTGTGTGTGTGGGGGGGTGGGGGGTGGGGGGGGGGGGGGGGTGGTGGTGGGGGGGGCGTATAATCTACGTATGGTATATGTGTACGTGTGTGCGTAGTGCATGTGTGTGTTGTGTGTGTGTGTGTGTGGGGGGGGGGGGGGGGCGCGTATAATCTACGTATGGTATATGTGTACGTGTGTGCGTAGTGCGTGTGTGTGTGTGTGTGTGGGGGGGGGGGGGGGGGCGTGAGAGCGTGTGTGTGTGTGTGTGTGTGTGTGGGGGGGTTATAATGTACGTAGGGTATGTATGTGTGAGTGCGTGTGTTTGTGTGTGCGTGTGCGTGTGTGTGTGCATGGTATGGTGTGGGGTGTGTGTGTGTGTACCTACGTGTTTGTGTATGATCGTGTGCGTGACTTTATAAGTAATTTGGCGTGTGAGTGTGAGTGTGCGTGCGTGCGTGCGTGCGTGCGTGCGTGCGTGTTCATAACCCAATCTTAATTTTAAACATTGTGTTAGTATATGTCTTATTTTACCTTACCCAGATCATGACGTTATAATTTGCTTTTATGTCTAGTGTCTCGTAGGCCATACCTGGTCGGATGTTATATTTTACTGTTCGTGTACGTGTTTTAGTATGAAGTGTATATAACATGTGACACTATAATAAACATTATTCTCTCTCTCTCTCTCTCTCTCTGTAAACGCTGATTTAAGCTGTATAACAACAGTTCTTTCAATTTTCAATTACCAAAACAACAATCAATTTACTTTGTTTTGTCTCTCAGTTTACTTTCCGTCTCGGTTTGGAATCTTAAATGTTGACGCACATGACTGCTCCAATAGAGAAGTCTGGGTTGTTGAATTACACTTTTCAAGACGACATGTTCAGCACCACGAGACACAGTCATGCAGTCAGTCCTGGGGGTTTATTCACCAATCTATTGTGAGGAACAATTAATATAAATTTGACATAAACATCAACACTGAATGGAAAGGTATCCATTAAGACACACTTGTGCTGTAAAGATGAAACTGGAAGCCAGGTGAAGCGTAATGGAGTTTAACGTCGCACCTATACAGGACGCTACACGCTTCTAATATGAATCATGACAAAGCAGTTTCCACTGCATTATTGCACCACTGGTATCAAAGCATATCCACTGTTTAAACTCTTCCAGAAGACCGTACATCCGTCCCCCATTCTGCTTCGTCACGCATTCCGACAAACCCATTCACCGCTAAGGCTAGTACCCGGATGTAAACACTGATTTAAGCTGCTGGGCGGAGCGCCACAACTCGATAAGCACGCTGTCGCTTTGTCGTCACAGACGCTGTCACCTATAGCAGTCACATTGATACAACAACTGTTGGCAGATACAAGATATCTTCGAAGGCTGGCTAAACTCAGTGAGTTGATTTCATATATTATTATCATTTTCATCTAACTTATAACACTCTTTAAAAATGTTAAAGTTAGGTGTACGTATATGAATAGTGTTTACAGGGGAATAGCGAAGATCTACTATTGTTTATAAGACAGGTCGATGTTATATAAAGAGCTAGCTCAACATATGTACTACATGTATCTGTAAATCCAACGTGTATTGCAACTGTGACAACACCACTACACATTGATATAGTTGTCATATAGCACAGAGTAGCACCCATTGATCGGTGTACAATATGGTAGTATCTGACAGATGACGAAATCACTCCACGGCTGTTAGTGAGTGTAACCAAACAAATGCACCCTGTGTTTGACGGGCATTGCATTTCTTAGAACATAGAGACGGATACAGAATTTTGAGAATAGGAAGGGTGAGGTGGTGATGTGAAATGAGTTAACGTGCGTTCAAGATTATTGTGTGTGTGTGTGTGTGTGTGTGTGTGTGTGTGTGTGTGTGTGTGTGTGTGTGTGTGTGTGTGTGTGTGTGTGTGTGTGTGTGTGTGTGTGTGTGTGTGTGTGTGTGTGTGTGTGCGCCTGTTTGTATTAGTCCGGACTTATGCCGTTTTTTTAGTGCCAGCCCACTTACATACCATGACATAGGATACTGACTCCGAGCCGACCAGTCCTTTAGTAATCCAATTAATGCCGAGCGTCAGGCTTGGTAATCAGCATCATCTTTTAACGTCTTTGGTACGACGCGCCCGGGATTCGAACCCAATAGCTGTAGGGAGGGAGTCGCGAAGAGTACAAAAGACATGGTAGAACACTCAAGGTGTCTGAAAAACTGTGAATTTGAACCCCTGCCCCCATCGCCGTAGGAACACCACGAACCTAGATACATACTGCTTGGTTTCTTTCGATTAACAGACATGGCTAAATCTGAGTCAGTTAGGTATTTTTCAAGAGAACATGATCAGAGAGTACGACACGTATTTTAATTCGAACGACCTCAAGTGTACCTCATTTAAGTGGATATCTATCCTTCGCTGCACGTGGATTAATTAAAGTGAACACCGACCTAAATAACTTGGTTACTGAGACCATCACAGTTGTCAACCCTCGAAATTACATTATAAATAGTTCCCGTTTTTCAATGAGATATTTTCTTATCAGCGATCATGTATCTGTATCTGTCACAGAGCTGTGCTCCAATGATTAGGGACGTCAATAAATAAGAATAAAGTAATAATGAAAACGTGGTAACAGGTTCACAGGTTTATCAATAACAGCTTATTGTACTTATAGATGACAAGAAAAGGATGCGTAGACAGCCAATCAATTCAATTAACTCGACGCTCTAATGAGTGAATCACATCGGCAGGGTTAAATAACGGGAAATAAACACAGAGGGCTAATCCCTAAAATAAGTCACTTAGAGTACAAAACAGACGAGTTTGTCTGAATATTAAACTAGCCTGAACGACTACGATTCAGTCACTTTGACTGAACAAGGAACAACTAAAATCTCCAAGTAGCTAACTATATATAGTCAGTCAAGCGAAGGTTTGTTATCCGCAGATAACTAGAAAAACCGAGCATTGGAAACACTAGTTACAAAGTAGCTAGACAATCACAGACAAACAGACAGTCAGACAGACAGTAGTTTATTTTCGTCTTGCCAACATTATTTACAGTGTAAACACCTCATGGGGGTGGGAGTTCTAGCATGTATTGATCAGCTTTTTGGCCGTAGCCTGTTGGAAGTAGGACATACTCTTGGAATTCTAATACTACAACTTCATGCAGTCGCCTTATATGGTCAAAACGTCGCTATATAAGTGCAATAATCTTGGACGCGACGTTAAACCCAATTTCACCTCACCTTATATGGTCAAAAGTAAGATACTGCTGCTGGCCACTGCGCTGTATATACATGTCAACTCAGTTGGAATGGTCGGAGTTGAGAGCTCAGGGTCCCGCTCCTCACAGCGATCGTAGCGCTACAACTCGTCTGTCATATGTACCCTCAAACAAATATATCCAATACAGCCCATGCAAGTCTATAATATTTGGCAAGTCAAGATTACTGCAGTATCTGAAAATGAAGAATCTCTGGGCTTCTTTTTATTATATTTAATAGCTATAATTTAACAACTGTTTTTTCTGTAAAATATGTTCATCTCAGAGACTAGATGTTTATCTACGTTACAACCGCCTTACATCTTTTTTAAAGTATGGGAGTTACGATCGCGTTAGCGCTACGATCGCTTTGTGTCATGACGGTCTAAGAGTATAGGTTGTGGCACATCAGACGGGCATGTGTTGTCGAAGTATCCGGTAGCTATAGTTTCCAGTAAGGAAATACATGTGATGAAATTATCAAATAAATACAGTACATGCATCAATCTATTTCATATTTATTTTCCTACACGTTAGTTATGCCTATTTAGTTTTTTTCGTTTATCAAATTCTTGAATAATGGTCACACTTTATAGATTAAAGGCAATAGCCTTGACGTAAATATGAACAGGTTTCCGCGTCGCAAACATGGTTATTGATATGAGACGAGGGTCAAGCTGTGTCACCTGCCGTGCCTCCCAGGTGTGATAGCAGGGGTCTCAGTTAGAGGCCTTGTTTCACACACAGCTAACGCTAAGCGCCCAGCACTGCAGGTAACAAACACACAACATATCCACAAGTTGTCTCCTTGATTGTGATTATCGGAAGGATATTTTCACAGTGTATTTCATTTTCTGACACTTGTCGACATAGTTTACTTTGCTTTACTGAGATATTAACTAAGCAGCTTACACTTACTGCAGTGTAAGTGGCATCTTGTTACCTATGTATGTCCAGGGGGAAAGGGGCACCTGGTGGTCTCCTGAGCCGCATCCAACTCTGTAGAGGTCATCGCATGTCTTTGGTTAAACTTACAGTTTCGCATCGATTAATGACCTCGTCTATCAGCCCGTGCTGTGGTGATCACTGGTACATGTCTATGACATGCATCACTTTTGGCTTTCTTCCACATGAAGCAGGCTGGCTGTGTTAGAACTGAAATACAGTTTAAATCCAAAGAAACCATTCGCTCCAAACCTACTGTTCAGGAGACAGTGCGGCTGTCAAACTCACCAATTCAAATTAAAAGCTTTTCTAAGTGAAATTTAAATAAATGTCTACATGCAACATCGTGCTTTGTTTAATAGTTTAGTTACTGATCCCATAAACTCGCGACCGGTCCCCATTTGCGACCCAGTGCATTAGATACTTCGGTTGAATCTTTTGAGGTAAATGGTTCAGCCTCTTTGTACCGACTAGCTACATCTACCACGGTTAAAGTATATTTATATGTTTTTGTTTGTCTTACCTTATCACGAGGGAGAAACAAGAGGTCAGTCTGATGAACTTCATTCGTTGTAAAAATATCAAAGTCTTTTCTCGGTATATAACACGGGGCCGGAGAGTATATTTGCCACATCGCTTGTTTCTTTAACCAATCCTTGGCAACATCTTTAGATACCTTAGCCACTGCAGCTAGTTTTTGTATGGCCCCTATACCTTTCCAATATCCTCGTGAGCGTTGGTAAAGTTTATCCGTTATTAATTAATATTGATCTTTCTTTAATACAAGCATGACGATCATTGGATCGCATCGCAAAATTAGCATAATACAATTACCTCTGTAGTAGCATTATTGGGGTATGAATCTGGTCCAGGTGGTAGTGTGGTTGATTTCCCATTCCCTATACTACTCAATAACTAGAGACACAGACAGGTTCAAAATAATATGTCAACGAGTAATTGTACTGTCCTGTATTTTGTGAACATTACAATGGACCCATTTCTACACATTTGAATTACATAGCTCACCTGAACAGCGATTCATGGGAGTTTATCTTGTCCTGATTTGTGGTGAATTTGTTTCTGCGCTCAACAGTATTCCCTCACTGTTTGTGGCACAGTGCCCCCTTGTGGCTGAATATAAACTATACTGAACAAAAGGAAGTTAGGGATCATGAATATTTTGGGAAATTTTTGAAGTAAAGAATGAGCACAAAATTTCATAAAAATATCTCCTATAATAGTTATGATCTCTAACTGTGTTCAGTGTACATTCGATATGCCCCTGACAACACGGAACACCTATCACATCTGCCACTGTGTATTGTTTGACCTTTAGAATGGACTCCAGTGCGTAGTATTAAGTTGACCCTTGTATTGCCTACACATGATATTCTAACATTGTGAAACCAAACTGTCTTCTCCTTGATTAAAGATATTAGAGGTCTGCGCATATGTTGCAAATAGATTTCCAATCAAATTTTACACACATGCAATCTTTATTGATCACTTCCTTTGGGCCCATATTTGAAAAAATATTCTAAACTCGAATGAATCATCCTCGTAATAGTGTCATTAAAACATATGTGTTGAGGAATTGGTATTCTATTTCAGATCCTTATTTGTCATTACAAATACTTTGGTGGGTGAATTTGAACATTTCACAATAACCATTGATTCAAAGTATATACAAATTGATGGTTTTAAATATCTTTTGTCTCTGAGAAGTTTCTAGCAATAGTTCCGAGAGCGATTATGCGGTTAATATTAACATGTTTATTTGTTTATTTCAATCTATGTTCCAACTATATTAAACGCAATAGTCCAAGAACGACATGATAAGCACATTTGACAGTCAGACTGTAAGTCTTGTTTGGAATATTTGTACTACTCCGTATATATAAATATGGATCTGGGTTGGTTTTTGAAACACCTGCTTTTAAAAGGCTCTGCTGGTTTGTATCAAGACCGTTATGACATTCCAGGGCAGGGAACGGAGAGTGTTTAGGTTGTGAATACGTACTGAGGAAGCTATACTAATAATGTAACATTTTGGACGAAAATTAGTAAACGAATAGAACACCAGTACTGTTGCGTCGCCCAGGAAAACCCACAAGACTTGGTGTAAATAGATACCTAACACTATGGCACGACACGAATGCTCAGTTCGGAAGTAAAT